AGAAAGCGAAAAGGAAGAAGAGGGGCCAAAACAAAAAGCTGGCAGAAATAAAAGAAATTGGAGAGGAGACAAGGAAAAGAAAGTGGTAATGGAGATTATAGCATGCGAAAGAAAGTAAGGAGGGGGAGAAGTCCTGGTTTAGAGAACAATACCAAGGGAAAGAAGTTGGGGGCTGGTGGCTCAGATGGTAGTGTGTTGCTGCTGCACAAGCTTGAGGACTTGCGCTCCATGCCGAGCAATCTCATTAAGAAAGAAAATCCAGGCATGGCAGCAATGTCTATAGAATCCTAACACTAGGGAGAGAGGGGCACGAGGATTCCTGGGCTCGCTGGCCAGTCAACCCAGCTAAATCAGTGAGCTCCAGACTCAGAGAGCCACTGTGTCTCAAAACGTAAGGTGGAGAAAGCAGCATCAACCGCTGAACTCTGTGTGTGGGAGCGCACACAGATAGATGGACAGATGGACACACACACATGGCAGACATCCATGACATACAGACATGGATGGATGGACATAAACACACACACATGGATAGACATGATACACATATGCAGAAGGACAGACACAACACACAGCAGACACAGGACACGTGGATGGACAGACAGACACATGACACACACATGAACAGACACACAGCAGACACGACACACAAATGACACACACAGTTATGTATGTTCAGTATAGACAATTTCTTCCAAAATATTTCCAGTCCTGCTTGGTGAATCAACAGATGGGCAGAACCTATGAGTGACTCAACAACCCCTCCGGCCTTTTGCTTCAGAAATTGAACAGTCTAGACAAGGATAGATACAGGCAGGTGTTAGGTGTTCAGATGCTAAAATTATTAACATGAGCAAACTGGTGTGAGGGCACTAGTTTGAAAAAAAAAAAAAAAAGTTTCACACATGTTGATTTTCCTGGCACCTGACTGCCACAAGATGGCAGGCCTTAATTCTTTTTCAGATTTCCCTTTCTTTTTTTCCCTATTTCTCTCTCCCTCTCTTTCTCCTTATTTTAAGAGAAATAACCCTTTATTGTCATGTTCCTCAGACAAAACCAATGGAGTTTGGGTTTTTTTTCTTTTTTTTGGGGGGGGAGCATTAGTCAGACACCAAATTCCATATCTTTATCTGAATATGGAACTTGGCTCCAACTGTGGCTGGGGCTGTAGCAGCAGCAGGTGCTCTGCAATTGCAGATGTAACAGCCCAGAAGGCCTTGACCTTCCCGCATTTGGAGGTCTAGTAAGTTTTCATAGGCAAAGCCAGGACTAGTGTGGGGTGTGTGTGTGTGTGTGTGTGTGTGTGTGTGTGTGTGTGTGTGTGTGTTGTATGTATGTGTATGTATATGTGTATACTCATGCAAGAGGAGGTCAGGGGAAACATCAGATGTCAGTCCTCAAAGCTGTCTACATTGTTTTATGACACAGGGTCTCTGCTGAGGCTGGCTGGTCACTGTGGCCACTGATCTTTAGAGAGAATCTGTGTCCATCTCAACACAGGCATTATAAGCACATGCTACCATGCCCGGCTTTCACCTTCTCGTCTTTAGGACTTACAGTCCAGGGGGTGCCAATGTAGTTCAGTTAGTAGAGCACTGTCTTAACATGACTGAGATCCCAAGCTCTCAGAGAACACTAGAGAACAAAACAGATGTGTATTGGTACACAAACACACACACACACACACACACACACACACACACAATCCTATCACTCAGGAGCTAGATATATGAAGATCAGAAGGTCAAAATCAGCCTGGACTGCAGGAGACCAGTCCAGATCATACTCATGTTTAGTTTCTATTTTGATAGTCTGTGTTATTGTTTGTTTGAGGACAGACTCTTGATAAGTAACCCAGACTGGTCTTGAACTCCCAATCCTGTTGCCTGAGTCTCCACACCCCTGGCTATGGCACACCTTAAAAGCAAACCAGCTCCTTGGGATCCTGTTTATCCCACCCCAGCCGCTGTAGAGTTTGGATCCAGGTTATGCTTCCCCCACGCATGAGTCTTCCACACACAGTCCAGGAGCCAGATGGCCTGAAGCACTTTGAACCAAAGCCACTCTTTAATAATAACCCACAAGTTTAATTTTCATATCTTGAGGGTTGTAAATAATTTAAAAGTTATTTTTGTCTTCAGCCGCACCTCTGCTTCTGTGTGGAAAGACATAGCCAGTGCCTCAGGACACAGTCTCTCCATAAATGATGGTTCCCCCTTCCTTTCCCCTTGCTGGCAGCAGTGTTCAGATGTAATATAGTCTTTGTTCAGAGGCCATCTGCCAACTCTTTAGCAACCTATGAACCTACCATTGTTCACCTTTACAACAAATTTCACTTTTAAAAAGCACAGCACTGCACATATTTCCTTTGAACATGAAAGTAAATGAAATTTGCTCTGAGAATTTCATAAGCCCTCTGATACAAAGGCATGCCACAAAAAAAAAAAAAAAAAAAAAAAAAAAAAAAAAGGCTGCTCTGTACATGCAATACAGAAGAGAATAAAAGTGAAGTTTGGCAAATAGCCCCTACCTGGAAACATAGTTTATATTTTGCACATTGGTCTTTTGTGGGGAGGAAAATGCATATAAACTTCAGTAATGTGCAACAATTAAGTTTTTATATTTGCTTTTAGGATAAAATATAATATATACCTTAAGTCAAACAAGAAAAATTCATTAAGGAGAGAGTAATCTTGTTCACTGGCTTCTTGGGGCTTTTATGTTTTGACTTAGTCACCAGACTCTATAATCCTAATTTTAATGACAATATGGGACAGAAAGCGGCCCAGGAGTTGTAGCCATGGGCTCCAAGTTTTAGTTCTGATAGCCCCACACTATCAGTTGCCTCCCAGAACTCTGTTGTCTTCATATGTAAGCCCAAGAGAATGATCTTGTCCTATTCCCTGTGAAAAACAGAAAAGGCATCCCTACATCCTCAAAATGTCTAAGTCCCGATCTTTAGAATGTGTGAATGCCTGAATGTGTGAAGTTACAGGGCAAAGAGGGATTAAATATACAGATGGAATTCAAATTGCTAGTCAGCTGAATTTGAAATGGGACAGTTCTCCATCTTCTAGATGTGTTCCAGGCAATCACAAGGGACTTTTAAAAAATCTGGTGGGAGGGAGATATAGCTTCAGAAGAGAGGCATAGATAGATGCAATATTGCTAGCTGTGAAGATGGAAGGGACCATGAGGCAAGGACTGTACTTAATCTCTAAAGATGAGAAAACAGGCTGGAAAGATGGTTTAGACATTAAAGTCAAAAAACAAACTAGCCTTCAAGTCTCAGGACAGACTGCAGCCCTGCTGATACCTCAACTGTAACCTAGTGAAACCTATGTCAGATTTCTGACCTCCAGAACTGACAGATACTAAATTTATATTGTTTAGGTTACTAAGTTGGTGGCAACTTAACTTTCTGAAGTGTTAAGTGAATTTACAGTCAATGGTTAGTGTTTTTTTTTTTTTTTTTTTTTTTTCTTGAACCTGCTTTCCTAAGAGCAAGTCTGTTCATTTCACCAGCCATTTGCCATCATGGTAAACTGAGAATTACCCAATTCATAATCTGGGTTCCATTAAGATGAAGTAACTTTCTTCTCCTTCTGTATCTCTTTTCCCTCCCCCGTTTTACTGTGAGCAGCAAGAAGAATCAAGGTTGTACCTTCAGCTCTGTGCTCAGATTTCTCCTTGTCTAAATATGCAAGCTCCCTTGTCACTTACAAGTACTTTCCATATAACTGGAGGACACACCCGCTATGCTTTCTTCGCCCATCTCTCAGGAATTTCCTTTCACAATCGAAAAGGTTTGAATGGTTTTCCCAAAGAGCCTTCAGAAAGGCATATGCCCTTTCTGACTCTCTAACTTCAATCCAGGCAGACCTGTGCTGAACTCTGTGCCTCAGAACTGTAAGAAAATATATCTGTCATATTAAGCAGCTAAGTTTCTGGTGATTTGTTACAGCAGCCATAGGAATGAATATGATTCCTTGTAAGATTTCCATGAAGATTGACTCAAGAAGGAAACTCTCTGAACACTCTCTCTCTCTCTCTCTCTCTCTCTCTCTCTCTCTCTCTCTCTCTCTGTGTGTGTGTGTGTGTGTGTGTGTGTGTGATGCACATCTGTAATCCCCACACTTGAGGTAACACCTAGATGATCAGAAGTTCAAGGTCGTCCTCAGCTACATAAAGACTTTGAAAGCAGCTGGGGCTATGTAGTCATGATCCAGTCTCATAAAAACAAACAAAAAATCTGAGCCATTCAAAAGTGAGTTGTAACTATGCAGTGAGCTAAGGAACAGAAACTCTGTAGAGGTAGAAGGGAATAGCAACGGGTACACTTGTGACCACGTGGCAGGACAAATGCACTTACATTGAGGTGAGCTTTCTTCCATGCCGCACATCAACCTGAGAACCTTTTTGGGTACATTTAATTAGTTAGTTATTGGGGTTAGTGGTGGGTGCATGCCAGAGTAGGTGTGGAGAGGTTAGAGAAAGGCTGGCAAAAGTTGGTTCTCTCCCTCTACTGTGTGGTCTCCAGAAATTGAACTCCAGCTGGAGAACCTGTCTACCACTGTGCTGACGGTCTAAGCTGTAATGAGCTGGGATGCACTTGTTGTTCGGCTTTGGATCTCTAAAACCTACCACAGCCACGGCATGTGAGTGTTTACTGAATGAGAGAGAGAGAAGTGAATGAAAATGTGAGAGAGATCTGGCTATGGCATGTGTCACCCATGATCACTAGGATTGGTTCAGCTTATCTGGCTTGCTAAGCAGGTGTCCCCTTCCCTGGACACTTCCCGAGCCTCCTATCTCTCTATAGCTGTGTGTTTAGCTGAAGAAGAAGACTGCTCCTGACAAGGAGGATCAGCCTTTAAGGCTGTGAGAGCAGCTGTGCTTCCCTGCTGGGACCTCCACACAATCTCAAAGTGTCTGAATGACCAGAAGCTGATGAGAAAGGAACCCTGAAGAATCCTCCAGATGGGATGCTTATGTTACAGTTTCACTTCCCTCCTTTCCCCCAAATTGTTCATCTTCTAATGTATACTTCATGAGCACTCGTGCTTTTGCTTGAGTTTCTTCAGGAGTAGGGGACGGGGTTGTTGAATTAAGCCAAGTGGGGAAACCCTGCATATTCTATCTCCTTCCTTGCAGAGTGAGCATGTCTCAATCATCATTAGTTCTGAAAAGTTCTTTGGTAGAGAAAACCATGATGCAGGCAGAGGTGTGAGGTCAGGAATGGGATCTTCTGAAACTCTAGTGAACATTTAGACACTCCAGAGGGTTTGTTACAACTCAGACAGAGCTGGACCCACCCCAGGTATTCTGCTCCCATAGGCTTGGGTCAGGCCCCAGGAACTTCCACTTCTAAAGAGTCACTAAGAAGTCCAGTTACCCCTGGTCTAGGATCTCATGTAGGAACCACTGCAGTGGAATACTCAATGGGCTCTATTCTCCCAAGCAAGCCTGAGTGGATTCATCACTACAATCCACCTTCCACCCCAGGGTGGGGGGTGCTTGAGGACCAAAACCAAGGCTAAAAATATAAACATTGCCCTCTTCTTCGCAAACTATGAGGTTGTTACTTATGAGTTTAGGAAGGGAGTGTAAACACAAAAGTCTACACAGTGTTAGACCGAGGCCACCAGCAGCTTCAAGAAGCAAGAGAAAGGGCCGGGTGTTGGTGTCGCATGCCTTTAATCCCAGCACTTGGGAGGCAGAGGCAGGCGGATCTCTGTGAGTTCAAGGCCAGCCTGGTCTCCAGAGCGAGTGCCAGGATAGTCTCCAAAGCTACACAGAGAAACCCTGTCTCGAAAAACCAAAAAAAAAAAAAAAGAGGGGGGGGGGGGAGAGGGGGAAGAGGAAGAAGAAGAAGAAGAAGAAGAAGAAGAAGAAGAAGAAGAAGAAAGAGATAGAGAGAAAGAGAAAGAGAAAGAGAGAAAAAGACAGCTGCACCAAATCCTCAGGGTGTGGTGGCAGGCCTGTGAGAAGGGAGATTTGTGACCAAGTGGATGAGGACTTTAAAAGAATATCTGGAGCTGCTGGACAGAGGAGTAGGCACCTCCAGGCAGAAAAGAGACTGTCCAGGGGTCAGTTTCTCCTGGGGCCACACTGTCCCTTGAGTGTACAATAATCACACTTCCTGGTGCTCAAAGCTTGTGTTCCATGTCATTTTCCTAACTTCCCTGCCACACAGTCTTTTGAAAAGAGTCAGGACTGGGAAATGGTATGCAAGAGCCTGGCTGTTAAAGAAACCCTTCTAGCAGCCAAATACTGTGAATAAATAGAGCAGATGCCCTTCCTGTTGAGTAGACTCTGGGTCTTAAGCACCACCAATAGTCATACAGCAACCATCTTGTGTGTCTGTAGAGGGCCTGAAGTGAGTCTAAACTATACCCTGTGATTCCTCCTGAGAGCCACCCTTTTGGCTCTCGCTGAGTTTAACTCGACTGCTACATCACTGAGAGGCCTCCACCGTGATCCTTTGCAATCACAGATCTGATCACAACGGTTCCTACAGAAAACACCTCAGTGGCTTTCCTAGGCTCTTCACAAAAAGACAAGAATCTAAAAATAGAATCCTCTCTAGTTCAAAAGTTTGCTGGCACCAACCCCCCAGATTTCCCACATCCACTATTTTTTAATAGCCAAACAAGGGCTTGGGGGATAACTCAGTATGCGAAATGCTTGAGGATTTAAGTTAATCCCTAGAAATCACATAAAAACAGCCAGACATGGGGGGACCCCAGCACTGGGGAAGCATAGAGAAGGTGACCCCTGGGACTCAATGGCTAGGCAGCCTAGTTTAATTGGTCAGTTCCAGACCAGTGAGAGATCTTATTGAAAAAATGAGAAAAACAGGTACCTGAGGAATGACACCTGAGGTTGTCCTTTGACCTTCACATATCATATATGCACAGATGTGCGCCTGAACACATGAATGTATACACGTGTGCCTGAACACATGCATACACACACATGCACCTGAATGCATAAATGCACACACCTTAGACAGTCAAAGAAGCAGCTTTTTAGTCATTTAGGGCTTGCTTGTTTGCTTGCCTACCTGTGCAATTATACCCAGGATCCACTGGCCACTCTTATATGGTAGAGTCTAGGTTGTCACTGCTCTTTGTACTTCCCTCAGCCAGAGACACCTCAGAATGGTGTGGAGTTACATCACTAAGAGCACTCTTCAGTCCCTCTGCCTTGGCTGTCCTCTGGAGAGCAGTCCCACTCTTCCAGAACACGGTGCACAATGCTGTGTGGATTTCCCTCTCATCCTCTGCTCAAGCACTGCCAATCAGGTTTGTCTCTTGTGGGCCTATGATCAGCCCTTCAAACTGTCTACAATTGACCATCAGGTTTAAGCATGCTGGCAGCTCAGGTTTTCTTGGCCTCATCTCCAAGGAAACCCCTGTTCCTCAAGGGAATTACCACATCACTCCTGCTTATACCTCCTTATATCAGTGTGACTGATTCCTTTGCTTCATTTGGACAAATTACCACAGATCCAAATTTCTAGTATTAATTTCCCAGAGTTGCAGATATCAATCTCTCAGAGTCATCTGATGGTTATGTCCCTTTCCACTATATAGCAATCTCTGAGACTTTGGGCCCCATGCCAACTTTCCTCACCACCATAACCCCAGCATACAGCCTATGTCTGGCACCAAATTGACTCTCATCAAATAAATACTTACATGTGGGGGAAAAAACAACAACAAAGAATGAAGCTACCTGATAAAGATCACATTGATGTAAAGTTTTCCAAGTTCTTCTGAAAAACATGTGGACTTTTCTACCCAGGAAAGTCAACATTTTGCCTCACTGGATTCAGTCCAGATCAACATATTGGTGCTGGGCTTTGTTTATTTCTTTGTGAGCCTCACACAGCTCCTGGTGCATTAGTGAACCAGATTGCTAGCCCACTTTATCAGCTGTTCCACATCAGATCCATCTTTCTTTCCTTCCTTCCTTTCTTTTCTTTTTTCTTTCTTTCTTTCTTTCTTTTCTTTTCTTTTTTTTTTTGAAGATGGGCTCCAATTATGTTGTCCAAGACGGCCTTGAACTGTTAGACTTGGTGATCTTTCTGCCCGAGAGTATCTTGAAGTACAGGTCCTTGCCACTGCACCCAGACAAAATAACCTTTTCAACTAACTCACACAGATCTGACCAGTCCAGTGGGCCTGAGAGGAGAGGCAAGTGTTTCAAAAGATCATTTTATTGATGTTCAGAAACATGTCACTTTGCTTCCATTGCTCACATTTGTTAGTGTGCAAATTAAAAGTTCTGTTTAACCAGAAATCACAATGGAATGAAGTGGTTACCATGGCTAGAGGATTGCCAGCTTGTGTGAAATACCATGACCCTATGGGATGTCCTCTGTCACCGGCTTGATTGATTTGCTGAAAACCAAATGCATGCATGTGAGGGCTGGAGTGAAAACCAAATGTATGCATGTGAGTGCTGGAGTGAAAACAGAATGCATGCATGTGAGTGCTGGAGTGAAAACCAAATGCATGCATGTGAGTGCTGGAGTGAAAACCAAATGCATGCATGTGAGTGCTGGAGTGAAAACCAAATGTATGCATGTGAGTGTTGAAGTGAAAACCGAATGCATGCATGTGAGTGCTGGAGTGAAAACTGAATGCATGCATGTGAGTACTGGAGTGAAAACCAAATGCATGCATGTGAGTGTTGAAGTGAAAACCGAATGCATGCATGTGAGTGCTGGAGTGAAAACTGAATGCATGCATGTGAGTGCTGGAGTGAAAGCCGAATGCATACATGTGTGTGTTGAAGTGAAAACCGAATGCATGCATGTGAGTGCTGGAGTGAAAACCAAATGCATGCATGTGAGTGCTGGAGTGAAAGCCGAATGCATACATGTGAGTGTTGAAGTGAAAACCGAATGCATGCATGTGAGTACTGGAGTGAAAACCAAATGCATGCATGTGAGTGCTGGAGTGAAAACGGAATGCATGCATGTGAGTACTGGAGTGAAAAC